AATTCATGGGGGGGGGGGCGTGGGGCGTGGGACAGAAAGAAATACATGAGATTCGCGTCCCCGAAGCCGTAATCCCTCGTAAATCACACCATGTTCGCGTCCCCGAGGCCACAAACCCTACTAGAGTATACAATAATTGCGTCCCCGAGGCAACACACCTTCGCAAATTACACGAGATTCGCGTCCCCGAGGCAGCAAACCCTGGCAAATTAGATAATGGTCGCGTCCCCGAAACCATAACCCTTTGCAAATTGCACCATGCATTGCCGAGGCCAAACATGCTCCAAGGCGCCCGAATATTGTTCCAAGACGGCCCAAGAGGGCCCAAGAGGCCCAAGACGGCCCCAAGAGGCCCCCAAGACGGCCCAAGAGGCCTCCAAGACGCTCAAGATGGCCTCCAAGACGGCTCAAGAGCCCTCCAAGACGTCCTCCAAGATGGCCCGAAAGGGTCAAAATGGCCTCCAGGCGGCCAAGATGACCTTCAAGATGCCCACGTGTTTCCCGAAGGCTTTCCAAACCGATTCGGGATAGCTTGGCAGGTCTGGCCTCAACGTTCGGCCACATAGGCGCTTCCAAAAAGGCAGGGGGCGGCGGTGATTCGCCGTAGGCGTCTTCGACCCGCCGCCCCCTGTTGGTTTGCCACAAAAAGTGCTCAGCGTGCTAAACCCTATCGCTCTTGGTTTTGGTTCTTTTTCCCAAAGAACTCTCCCTGGGCCTTCGGCCCGTACCCCTGGCCACCCAGACGGCGCCCAATTCTCACACAAATCCCAAGAAGGCTCAAGATGGCTTTCAAGACCGCCAAGATGGCCTACAACACGGTTACGATGGCCCCAAGACGCCTTCAAGATGGCCCAAGATGAATCCAAGACGGTATAAGATAGTCTCAAGATGGCCCCAGACGGCCCAAGAGGGCACCAGGAAGCTTCAAGACGTCCCAAGTGGCCTCCAAGAGGTCTTCCAGGAAGGCCCGAAGAGACCAAGATCCTTGAATTTCCCATGATGTTTGAAGGATTTGGGCATGTGCTTCTCTTCGGTCCTCCGACCGCCCAAGACGGCCCAACAGCCCAAATATCGCCCCCACAGCGCCCAAGACTAAGAGGCCTCCAAGATGGCCCCAGAACGGCCCAACAGGCCCCAAAGACGGCCCAAAGAGGGCTCCAAGACGGCCCACGAGGCATCCACGACGCCCAGCATGGCTTCCAAGACATCCCTGGAGCACCCCAAGAGGGTCCAGAGAGGCCCTCAAGACGGCTTCCGAGGGCGTCAGACGGGCCAGGAGGCCATCAATATGGCCCAAGATGGATCGCTCCAAGATGGCCCAAGACGGCCCAAGAGGCCCCCAAGAGGTCTCCAAGAGTGCTCCCCAAGAGGGCCTCCAGGAAGGCCCGACGAGGTCAAAATCATTGATATTCCTCAGGTGTTTGAAGGATTGGGGCATTTGCTTCTTTTCGATCTTCCGACGGCCCGATACGGCCCAAGAGCCCCCAAAGGTCGCCCCAAGATCGCCCACGAGGCCTTCCAACATGGCCCCGAAACGGCCCAAGAGGCCCTGAATCTGGCCCTAACAGGGCTCCAAGACGGCCCAAGATGCCTTCAAGACGCCCAAGCTGGCCTCCAAGACGGCCCTGGAGCACCCCAACAGGGCCCTTAGTCGGCCCAGAGAGGCCCCCAAGACGACGTCAGACGGGCCAAACAGCCAAAAAGGCCCCCGAGAAGCCCCCAGGCCCACAAGAGGCCCAATGAGGCCCCCAAGATGCCTGCAAGAGGCTCTCAGGAAAATCCCAGGAGGCCCCAAGAGTGCCCCCAGAGGCTCCCAACATACCCCTCCTCCTCCTGCTCCTCCTCCTCCTCCTCATCATCATTATCCTTTTCCTCCTCGTCCTCCTCCTCCTCCTCGTCTCCTCCTCCGGATCTTCCCCGCCATCCTCCCCCAAGTGTTCCCCGAAGGGTTTCTGCAACGGTTTGGGAAACAGCTGGCTCAATAGCTTGGCGGAGCTCTTGCCACAACGCTCGGCCACGCGGGCGATTCCAAAAGGCAGGGGGCGGCGGTGATTCGCCGTAGGCGTCTTCGATAACGCCAGCGTCTCAACATGCGCTGATTGACCGCCCCCGCATGATGTCCCCAGATGCGCCAAGGCCACCAAAGCAGCGCCGAGACGCACCGACGCGACTCGAATCTATCCAATTATGATAGAGAGGAGGCCGACAGCGGGGGGCGAAGCTCTTACGGATAATATATCTTCCTGCCAGCAGATGCCCCAAGGAATTCTCGCCTCCCTGAAGGCCTTCGGAGCCCATAGAAGATCTGGGGCACCTCAGGAAGCTCAAGGCTCGACGACAAACCTGCTCCTAGATTTCTTATAGCGAGACTTCTGATCGGATGTGCCTGCTGTGTTTCCTCCTGCTCCCCCCCACCCTCCTCGTCCTCGTCCTGCTCCTCCTCCTCGTCTTCGCCCCTCCTGGCTCCACGCGAGCCCGCTCCCATGGCGCACCGCTCCCCGTCGAACTCGCGTTGTTGCAACAACAACAACAACAACAACAACAACAACAACAACACCAACAACAACAACGTGAATACGACCATCATGTATCATACGGTATTTCCCGGACGCGTTCTACATTCGCACGATGTCATGGATTATGTGTTCGCGCATGCGTGTATGTTTGTGTTTCGATCGGTGCGTCCTAAATCGAATCGAAATCGTGTTATCGCTGCATCGCTGGCCACACCCACCCATGTTTTCAGAAGCCTCATGCCCGACTGCGCAGCAACTGATGGGTAAAACCCTCCAACTGCATCTGGCGTGCCCCATCCTCCTATTCCTTCCACCACGTGGTCTCCCTGCTTCCTCCAAGTGATTATGCCTTCCCCCTCTCCTCTCATGCTCTTCCGCCCTCCTGATCCTACTCCTCCGCCCCCCCCCTCTCTCCCCGTAATCATCAGATAAGCGACCAGACCCCCTCCCTCCTTCTCGCATGCCTGCCCTTGTCCCCCTGCTGCTTCCTACTCAATCGTCCGCTTCTGCTCTTCCTCTTCCTCCTTTTCTTCTCCGCCTGTCCTCCTATACTGCTCTGCCTCTCCTCCTGTCATATCCCTCCTCCTTCTCCTCCGAATTCCTCCTCCCCTCGCATCGTCCGCCATCGTCGTCCTCCTCCTCCTCCTCTCCTCCTTCTCCTCCTTCTCCTCCTCCTCCTCCTCCTCCTCCTCCTGCTCCTCTTCCTCATCCGCCTATTATCATCATTCCTCATCCGCCTCCTCCTCGTTCTCCTCCGAATTCCTCTTCCTCCTCCTCCCCAGTCGTCCCTCTCCACATCTCCAACTCGGCATATCCTCCTCCTCCTCCTCCGCCTCCTGTTCCTCCTCCTCTTCCACCTCCTCTTCCTCATATTGTTCCTCCTCGTCCTATTCCTTCCGCATTCTCCTCCTATCCCTCGTCGTCGTCGGCGTCGTCAAATTCTTCTTCTTCTTCGTCTTCTTCCTCCCTCCTCATATCCTCCTTATCTCTTCCTCCTCCTCCTCCTCCTCTTCCTCCTCCTCTTCTTCCGTGTCTTCGTCGTATTCGTCCCCCTCCTCCCTCCTCCTCATCCAGGATCGCGTCGGTCCTGGCAATTCCCGGTTGGTCCCGGACATCTGCCAGCAGTGATTCGTCGCCCGGTTGTTTCGTTTCGTTGTTTAGTGGCGCGTCGTCCAAATGCGCCTCCTCATCATCGGATTCCTTCTCCAATTCATATGATTCATCTTTCTCCTTCCGCCCTCATCCTTCGTCCTTCATCGCCCTCTCCTCCCCATTTTTTCTGAATGATCCTTCTGCCCCATCGTCGTCATCCTCTTCGTGCTTCTGGAAGCGCCGTCTCATCCCTCTCCCCTCCCGTCTGCCTCCTCTTCCCTCTTCCTGGTCATGCTCTGCTCCTCGTGCCTCCTCTCGGGAAACAAAAAATGACATAAGCAAGCATACAAGCTCTGAGGTCCGCGCGGATTTCTCGCATCGGCGCTGGAGCCCCAGCGCGGCTCGCGGAGCGCGCCATGGGCGGCGCCCGAGGCGCCGCCAGGGGGCCCCAGCACTGATCCGAGAAATCCGCGCGGACCTCCGCGTTTTCATGTGCGTGTCACTTCTTCTTCCCCGATCCTCTCTCTGTCTCTCTTTCTCTCCTCCCCCTCATCCTCCCTCCAGCGCGCCCGGGCGAGTCCGGAAGAGCTGGTCCCACCACCGCACGGAGAGCACCTGCGCGGCCGCCCGCCCCGTGCGGGGGGGAGAAGGGGGGGGCGGAGTCGCGAGGTGGACAGGCGGGTGGCAGGTGGTGGGGGCACAGGGATCTGGGATCAGCTGGTGGGCCTGTTTCCCACCGCCACCACCACAAGAAGGATGGGGGAGGGGGGTCCTCCGCGCGCGCCTGCCTCGGCAGCTGGTTCGCCCCCTCCGCGCTAAGGGCAGCCGACAGCGAGCCTCATGCCGTCTGGCCAGGCTTTGAGCCCTGGCGGAAGCTTACCTTTGGTGAGCTTCTGGATCGCCTTCCTGCCTCCTTCTGCGGGGGGGATCCACGAACTTCTTGGCAGCACGAGTGGTCCAGGCTCCACAACGGGAGGGGGAGGGGGCCCTCCTCCTCCTCCTCCTCCTCCTCCTCCTCTTCCTCCTCCCCTTCTCGTCCTCCTCCCGAAGGGAGGGAATGGCACTGTCAGCTGGAGAGGCAGAAAGTGTTGCCCTGCGGAGCCGTGGCCGCCCCGCCGTGAGCACCGCCGCCCCGAAGGCCTGGCCTGTGGCCAACGCGGCCGGGGTCAGCGGGACAGCGCCCTTCAGGTATGCACCCTCTGGGGGGGAAGCACGGGGGCTGAGAAATAGGGAACCGAACTCCATACACCGACGCTGTGCCCTGCGCGGGAACTTTCACGAGAAAGCGGATCCTGGTGTACACGGGGTCCTGGTGTATATATTCTTCGCTATTCCCAAGGAAAACGGAGAAGTATAAGTATACAGCACACCACTCCGACGTCCCCGACCCTGGAAAAGTCCTGGGATTGCAGAACCGCCCGCCACTGGTAATCTAGATGCTCCAGTTTCCGAAGGTATGCGCCCTCTGGGGGAACCACGGGGGCTGAGAAAGAAATGCTAAAACGGGGGCGAAGAGAATACGACAGCCAAGCGGGCAGGAGGCCAGTTCGGTGGGCACGTGTGCACTTCGGATAGCCTATGGGAATGCTTGTAGCCGTGCGAAACAAGGTATGCGTATAGGTCGGGGCTGTGGATGTATGGAACATGCATTGTGTCGATGCATCCACGGGAACCTCTCTATGCGTGTGCATGCTGGCCTGGAGATTGGGTTAGCAGACGTTCGGGCAGGCAAGCATGCAAGTCCGCGGGCACTGAAGTTAGACAAGCAGTTGGCAAGCAATTGGCATGTGCACGAACGGCTAGGAAGGGGAAACGAAGGAGCAAGTGAAAGTGAACCAGGAAGGGCGGCATGGGCATTGCGGGCTGAAGGGGGAAATACATGTGCGGGGTGGACGGGGGGATGCTCTACACATTCTCGTCCTCCACGTCCTCCCCATGGGCGAGGGGCAACATAACAATAAAAAGGAACTCAGGGGAGCACTATCCATATGATTGCCAGCAACGCATAGGCCAGGATGAGCCAGCCGAAGAAAGGCATCTTCGGGTACTCGTTCCCAGGCAAGTAGCCGTACGCGTGTTTGACCTGCGGGAGAAGCACAAGTGGCATGCATACGTATGGACACGCATGTGCATACATGCATATATATATATATATATATATATGTGCATATGTGCATACATGTGTATGCATGCACCCCTCTACATACATATACATATACATATACGTATACACATAGATACACACATATATGTATTCATATTCATGTTCATCTTCATTTTCATATTCATCTACCTATACACATACATATACATATACATCTACAGATGCATCTACATCTACATCTACATACATAAATATATATACTAGAACCACAGCGCGCGCGAAGCGCGCGCTCAAGTTATAGCCCAGGCTGGGCGGGGGCTGGAAGATCTTGGACAGCGCTATCAAGCACAGGCACGTGACATAGTCGTATCCACCCTCACCCACCTTTGTGAGTTCAGGCCTAATACTCATACTCATCATCATACTCTGCGTTATAATAACCATCCTGATCATACCCACTGACGACATCATCAACAACACTATGGAAAACATCCTTGGCCCAGTGCAGCTAGCCATGACGGTACGTCAAGCTCGCGTATCATCATGATTTCCATCATCGTCCTCATCCTCGTCCGTCTCACCATGATCGGTCCCCGAGCCTGCCTGCGTTCAGAGACTGTTGCTTCGCGTGTCGCGGCGGCGACCCCTTCGACAAGCCATGCCCTGCAAACGGGTAGAGTGTCACTCCGCTTCGCTGGGCTGGAGGGCTGGAAAATGCTCGGGACGCGATGAAGAGCACTATCAGGATGATGCGCCCGTTGAGACTGTGTGGCGTCTTGGCCGTCTCTGGGGGGCCTTGCAAGGGCATGTAGGGGGCGAATTTGACTCTCTCTGGGCCTCTGGGGTGGCCTCGTGGGGGTTTCTTGGGGCCTCTTGGAGCCTCTTGGGGACCTCTTCGGGGCGTCTCCGGGACTCCATGGGCTTTCTCGCGGGGCCCCTGGAGCCTGCCGGGCCAAATACGCAACGGTGGACCATCCCCTGCGGCAGCCATGAAGAGGACGAAAAGGGCGAGGGCGAGGAGGAGGCGCAAGAGGAGGAGGCATGGCGGGGTCCATGGTCGAAAGGCTTTGGCGGTCTCTGGAGAGCCTCTGAACTCGCTACCCTAGTGAGCGTTTTTAATTCGGCGTTTCGACACTGGGCGGAAAAGGGGGGGAGGGGGGGTCTGGCTCTGGACCTCTGCTTACTGCGGCTGTTTGCAGCAGTGCGTCGTATGGGTGAGAGGCTCCACCTGCTCGAAACAGGCGCCAAAAACATCAAAGATCTACTCCATGGGGGAAAGAAGTGGGGGTGCGAGGGCCCGCGCCGATCGGAAAACCAACGAATCAAAAAACGATCACCTATCCCTCCTCCTGTTTGGGGTGGGATAATAATGCAAACTTGCAATATTCATGTGTTCGTCCGCTGACAAGCCTGTCAACGGGAGTTCGACGCTGCGAGGCCAAACAGTGAACTGAATCTTCTTGACTTGCCCGTCCTTCGGCCTACGAGTCTCCCCCCGCCTTCACGAGGTTCGGGGGCGCGGCCATAATGCAAGCGTGTTGATTGGTCCGTCCCATGTTTGACTATCCTATCCCCCCTCCGCGGGGATTGGGGGCAAAACAAGAATTCAACCTTACACTATTAATATGTAGGTTATCCGACCTACTACCCTACTACCCTATCCCTCGTCCTTGTGGTTCGGGTTGTGGGGTCGCGGCAGTTGGCACAGGAGTATCACTAATTCAGCCTTCCCAGGTCACAAACGAATGGCAGGGCCACATGATTCCCACCATTTCAATCATCCCAGGTCACGAAAGTGTGGCAGGGCAATGGGATTATTTCATGGAATGTTACCATAGAACCTGGAATGTTACCACAGACTCCTTTCCTGAAAGACGATGCGTGTGTTGGCTGTGCTGGGTCATGGCACCCGTGCAGAGACGAAACAAGGCGACGGGCTTGCACCGACGGGCAACAACCGAATCTAGCATTCGACATGGCTGGATATAGCTCACATTGTGCCGCGCATATTCTGACAACCAATGAGACAATCAACAACCAAACGGCGAAACAATCGACGCGCCAAATACGCGCCAACCGCGAGCCGCGCCAAACGCGTGCTGACCATGCAAACGCAAGTAAAGTGGAGACGTCATTTACGCTTTATGAGCGCGCCATGCGCGTGTCAATTCACCGATAGTGGACCTAGATGACGCCATACGAATGAGACGGTATGAACATGTGTATATACATAGTTGCCTATTTGTATGTATATGTATGTGTATGTATGTAGATGTATGTATAAGTCTATGTATGGGCCTCTGAGGGGCCGTTTGGGGGCCTCTTCGAAGAAATTGTGGGCGTCCTGGGGGCATCTTGGGGGCTTCTTGGGGCCTGCTGAAAATCTCGGGAGCACCCTTTGGGCGGAGAGCTCGAAATGTGAGCTCGAATCCACCTTTTGGGGCCGTCTTGGGCGCCTCGTGGCCCGTCTTCTGTCTCTCTTGGGCAGCGTTGATGCCTCGTTGAGGGGATATTGGACAATCTTGGAGCGATCTTGGAGGACCAGTTCGGCCGTCTTGGACGCTGTGAACACAAAAATTGTGAATGTGCTGACCGTGGTCCTCAATGGGACGATTTGGGCGTCTGGGGGCCCTCTCGGAGCTCTCTTGGGCCTTCTGGGCTGCCTCTTGGCCGTCCTGAATGCATCTTGAGCGGCCTTGGAGTGATCTCGGGGCGTTTTCGGGTCGTCTTGGAAGCCTCTTGGGCTGTCTGGAAGCCATCGTGGGTCTTCTTGGAACGCCCTGGGAGCCGAAAACGGGTCCCGGGCCCCGGGGGCTAAATTCGGTTGCCCAGGGGGTGGCCCCATTTGTCATTTTGTGCCTTGGGGGGGCTGGGGAGCCCACTACTCCGAAATTAAGTGTGTATATATATATATATGTGTATGTATATGTATATGTATACATATATATGTGTATGTATGTATGTATGTATGTATGTATGTATGTATGTATGTATGTATGTATGTGTATGCATGCATGCATGCATGCATGCATGCATGCATGCATGTATGTATGTATGTATGTATGTATGTTTGTATGTGTATATATATATATACTATATATATACACAATCATTCATTTATATATTTGTGTTGATGTCGGCGGTGCCCCGGGGCACGACCCCCCCTCTCGCTGGGGTTTCCAGGGGCTTCGTAGCGGGCGCACCGGATGCCGCCGTGACCCCCCCCCGTCTCCCCCATTCCCGGGGAGTTTTCGTACTGGGCGCACTGGCGCCCCCCCCCCATGCGGTAGTGGGGTGGGAGGGGTCCTGTGGGAGCGGAGGAGTCTGGGACGCATTCTATGAGGCGTGGGAGAAGGACTGCGAGAGACCTCCAGCGATCTCCAAAAACCTCCAGTGGCCTCCGGAGATCTCTGCATCGATGTTGTCCTCGTCGTCGTCGTCGCCGCTCGTCGTCGTTCGTCGTTCGTCGTCGTCCGTCGTCGTCCGTCGTGGTCCGTCGTAGTCCGTCGCCGCTCGTTGTCGTCGTCGTCATCGTCGTGGCCGTCGCCGTCGCCGTCGCCGTGGCCGCGCCGTCGCCGTCGCCGTCGTCGTCGCCGTCGCCGTCGCCGTCGCCGTCGCCGTCGTCGTCGTCGTCGTCATCGTCGTCGTGGTCGTCGTGGTCGTCGCGGTCGTCGCCACGCCGGCGCCACGTTATCATCACGTTATCTTCGTCGTCGTCGTGGTCGTCGGCACGTCGTCGTCTCGTCGTCGTCACATCCTCGTGGCGTCATCGTCGCGGCGTCACGTCGTCGACGCGTCACCGTCGCGTTGTCGTCGCGTCGTCGTCAGGCCGTCGTCACGTCGTCGTCGTCGTCGTCGGCGTCGGCGTCATCGTCGTGGTCGTGGTCGTCGTCGTGGTCGTGGTCGTGGTCGTGGTCGTGGTCGTGGTCGTCGTCGTCGTCGTCGTCGCCACGTTGTCGTCGCCGCCACGTCGTCGTCGCCACGTCGTCATCGTCGTCGTTTCCGTGGTCGCCGACGCCACCGCCGTCGAAGGGCGCCCTCCAGTGCTCCCAAGACGCTCGAACGCACTCCCCTGGGGTCCCACACGCTCCCGGACGCTCGCACCCGGGTGCATCCTGGGGGCATTCGTGCAAGGCCGCACCGGCGGTACGTCCCCGTGGGCTCCGTGCATTCTGGGGGAGGTTCGTACCGGCCCGTCGCGCCAGCGGTGCGTCCTGGGGGGTCGTGCATCTCGGGGGAGTTCGCTCCGCACTGGGCGTCGCCGATATATATATATATATATATATATATATATATATATACATACATACATACACATACATATATACATATGTATATGTATATATATATATAAGGATAGATATACAGGTGTAGTTCGTACATGAATATACTAGAAGTATTAGTGCGCGGTCCGCGCGGGCTCTGCAACTAGGTAGCTTGAAGCGTTGGGACATGCAAACTGGAACATGCTTGACTCTTCACTCTCCTCCTGCCCTGCTTTCCTCACACACCTTTTCGTGGCTATCGTTCTCCGTCCTGCTACTTACTGTCTTCTTCCGCTTCTCTTGCATCGTCCACATTATGGTATCCTCGTCGCTCATCCCTCCTGCGCCCTCCTATTTTCGCTTCTCTTGACCTCTCCGCTTCCCTCTCCGTTCCATCCTCCTCCAGAGTCCGCCGAGACGGCCCAAGAAAACCCCAAGAGAATCGCTGGCGAGAGCGGACGCAAGGTACCGGCGGGGAGCAGAGAATAGGCAGGCGAGAGGGTGCAGGTTGGGAAGGACAGAAATGAGTGGAAGGCAAGAGGAAGAATGAAGCAGCTAGAAAGACGGAGGAAACAGGAGGATGGAAGACCAGGAGGCAAGATAGGCAGGCAGATAGACGGACATGAGGGGAAGGAGGCAAGATAGGTCGGAAGCAAGATGGAAGGAAGAGCGGAGGAAATGACACACCGACCGGAGGGGGGGTGCAGGCCCAGAGGGACGCCCACCCAAACATATGGATTCTCGTATCTCCATTCCTCAAAAATCCCGCCGGGGATGTCTTTGCAAATTTATGTCTGTAGACCGGCTACCGCTCGAAACATCTGCTTCTCCTCGGAGCAGTCTGTTGGTGTTCATTAGAATGTCGTTTAAGGGTTCTCGGGGGCGCTGAGGGAACAATGTTGAAGCCTTTGGGGAGCCATTTTTTCAAGCCCCTTGGGGCGGCATAGGAGTCTCTTGGGGCCACCTGGGGTCTCTTGGGTGCGTCTGGCGGCATCGTGGGGCGGAGAACTCGAAGTGTTGGTTCGGGCTTCCGCTCTTGGGATACTTTTGGGGCCGTCTTTGGGCTTTCCTGGGCTCTCTTAGGGAACTCTTGGGTTGGGGTTTCTCTGGGCTGTCTTTGCAATTCACAGCCCCGAGCCTGCCTCACTAGAGCCTACTTACGACAGATGGCCTCTAGAGGCCGTGCGTGATATAAGCTTCAGGCTCCAAAGGAGCCCCATGTATGTTAGCCAAGCGTTTCCCGGCGAATCGGGCCCCCTTTAGCCTCCAGATTGCAGCCAGCCTTGCTTAGTAGGCCCTCCGAGATCCTTCGAGATCCCCATTATAATATCCCAGAACAGGTTCATCCGAAACCGTTCTGGCTCAAGCCTTTGCAGCGTCTCAGCGACGCTGGACTTCTGGTGTGCGTCCGAGAGACGCAGGACAGCGAACTGCCCGCTGACAAACAGATCCTGTTCATCACCACAGTGCGATCAGCATCGCACCGTCACTGCCCTCAGATTCGACCCGACCGCCAACAGTACCCTCGGCACGTGTCAGAGCAGAGAAGAGAGCAGCATCATCAAGGATTGCGATCAGGGCAGTGGTTCTAAGCGGGACCATTGCATGGTAGCGGAGCTATCAAGCTCCACGGACAACAGATTCACGGATAGAAGTTCATCGTTTGAGTCATGACGAGGAATAACAATAATAACGATGACATCATACCGAAGTGGAACGGAGATCTCACCACGGTGGACGATTACGAGAGAGACGTCAAAGCTTACATCCGAGGCACCCGTCGAGATGAACGATATGTATGCGGCCCTCGTTTGTGGAGACGACTGGAAGGTCGAGCACGACAAGCAGCCAAGGATGTGGACTGGGACCGCATTGAGAGAGACGACGGTGCAGCTGAGCTACTGCGACACATTCGCGCCAAGCTCGGTGCTCAGCCCATCCAGGATGCAGGCAAATATCTGGCCAGATGGATCTTCGATCTTCGTCGAGACACTGGAGAGCCAATGCCGAGCTACATAAGCAGAGACGATGAGGCCTACCACGACGTGGTCAAGGGTTTCGACACCGAGTATTTCAAGAAGCAGCGCACGGCTCGGCTGTCGGCAAGGTCAAAGGAATGGAACACCCTCTACTCGGAGCTCAACTGGTTCTTGTACAAGATCGAGCAGGAGGGCCCGGAGGACGCCGCCGACAAGGCCAAGGAGTTGAACCACCAGCTCTGGAGCTTCATCCGGACAGGTCTTGAGGAGATCCCCGAGCATCCGGATTTCGGAACCGACTTCAAACAGGCGATTCCCCTTGACCAGCTGCGCGGATGGCTACTGCTGCAGAGATCAAGACTTTCCCCGACGGAGCGTGCGGCAGTTATCAGCGCAGTCAAAGGCAACTTCGACTACGACAGCATCGGCGAGCAGCTAAGAGTATCTTGGCCAGATGACGAGCTGACGAACAGAGATAAGAAGCACGGCAAGGACAACCATCGCCATCGCGAGCGAGGTCGGATCCATGCCGGCTGGGAGGAGAACAGCGAGGACGACGACGACTACAGCTACTACGATGGCGACCAGTCGGAGGCCACCTATGAGGACGCGGACGGCGACGAGGACGAAGGAGATCCCGAGGAGCCGCTCTACAGCGCCCAGGAGATCGAGGAGGCCGAGACCGCGTTCGCCGCCCAGCAGCGCAGTTTCGAAGAAGCTCGAGATCTACTCCGACGAGTGAAGACCGCCAGGAAGTTCTACCCCGTGGATGAGAACAAGAAGCGAGAAGGACGCGGAGGACAGCGCAAGTTCCAGGGACCTCGAGCTGGATCCCGAGGCTCTGGATCATCGAAAGGACGAGGCCGAGGGAGCGGACAACGACGCGACGTACCACCCCGACGTGATGGAGAACGCTCCCAGGGCCGGCCGCCCCGTAAGGGACCCTGTCTGAAGTGCGGCGGCAATCACGAGACTAAGGATCACAAAGACCGCGCTTCCTCCACCAGCAGCAAAGATCGTGAACGACCTAAGCGAGGTTTCGGAGCCTACGTGTTCTTCGGCGCCGAGCAGGACGCCGAGATGGAGGCGAATCTCATCAGGAACGAGACCTCGCGCCTGGAGCTGGAGACGACGCTCAACAATAAGCCAGTGATCAAGAATCGACCGAAGCTTCCGAAGAAACAGCTCGAGAAGACGATGTACCTAGAGGTGGAGAAATCCATCGAGAGGCGGGAGCAAGTCCATCATGTGAAGCTACCGAGCTGGCCAACCCTGGAGAAGCTAGACGACTGGATCCTCATGAGTGTGAAGCAGAGCTCCTCCAAGGGCTTCGGTATTCTGGACATCGGCGCGACCTCCAGCATCATGGGCATCGAGGCTGCCGAGAACCTACGCGATATCATCTATGAGCAGACGGGCAAGAACATCAAGATGGACGTTAGCCAGAAGAGTACTTTTATCTTTGGAGATGGCAACGCCAAGACCTGCACCGGCAAGGCAACCTTCCCTCTGATGATCGCCGGTGTGGACGGCGAGCTCGAGATAAACATCCTCGACGCAGATGCCCCGCTCTTGATCGGAGTGGATGTTTTGAGCCGCCTAGGAGCTGTGATCGACTGCGAGGCGCATTCTGTCTACTTCAAGAAGCTCGGGCGCCGAGCTGAACTGCTCGTCCTTCCGAGCGGTCATCTTGCACTGCCACTTGTTCGACAAGCCGATTTTGGCTTCGTGGCATCTCTCGAGTAGGGGTCCACGCCCTCGACACCCGAGACTGCTACGGTGCCGGAGGGAAAACATGAAAGAGAGCAGCCGATCAAAAGCGAGAACGATAAACCGTCTGCAGTGGTGCCCCAGGAGTTCCCCGACGAGGTCCCAGATAATGGAGCCCTCCAGGCCTCAGGTACATCATCATCATTTACGAGTACGGGGGCACCATCACCAATTACGCCTACAGCAACATCATCATCATTTACAAGTACGGGGACATCATTAATTACGTCGGGGACATCATCCCTTACGTCAGGGACATCATCCGTATCAGCCCCGGCTCCATCACCTACGGCATTATCGGAGTTATCTCCAGAGGCCTTCCCTGAGATCCCAGAGTTTCCAGAGCTCCAAACAGTAACATCCCCGTCTCCAAGAGCCATTTTTGGTGCGAACGATTCGAGCTCAGAGCTCCGATTTCAGCAACCAGTAATACTTCCATATTCGAGCCCTGAGCTCCGACAACATCCAGTTGGCACTACATATTCGCATGAGCCTCAACCGCGAGGCGAAATGTCGCAAAGCAGAGAGCCAGCAGATCAAGCTGGAGAACGAGGAGATGGATGGCCCATGGGAGCAGGTGGATGTTCGGGTCCCGCTACCGGACTCGGGATCATCGGCGGCGACCTCCACGTCGACGCCGGCACGGCCTACACTACAACGGATGCAGCCGCAGGGGCGACTGATCGCTCATCAGGACGTGAGGGGCCACATCTTCTACACGATCGAGGGCTCGGAGCAGGACAACAGCATGAAGCGGATGACGGACACCTTCCTGCAGGAGCACCTACCGAACTGGGAGATGTGGTCCAGCAAGCTCCTCCAGCAGTGGACGCAGTGCCGTCGCTGGGGACGAATCATCCAGAAGGTCTTCATCAAGACGATCGACCGTGTGAACTGGAAGCTGGACAGCCTCGGACTACCTGTGCAGTTGCTACCCGAGAGGTACCCGACCTGGCCGGCGGACATCGAGCATCGTGCGAAGATCGAGCCGCGCCAGCCGTGCACGGAGCCGAAGCAGCGCCCCCTGTCCCAGAAGTCAGCAGCCTCAGCAGCCGCGCGCGAGCAGAATCAAGAGCTGCGAGCCACCATCGAGACCGCAAAGTTAGATTTCTTGACCAAGTTTGCGGAGGTGGATGCGTTTGCAGCGCTGAGCTCGGAGCAGATCCACGAGCAGCTCAGCATGGTCACGTTGGTCAACCACCTCAAGCCGCTGTGCAAGATGTGGGGACTGACCCAGACTGGCAAGAAGGAGGAGGTGATCGACAAGATCATCGCGTACATCATCGAGCAGCGCGGCACGGCGGCAGCGACTATCCAGATCAAGAAGGAGACGGAGACCAAGAAGATGGAGACGACGGCAATGCCCGTGGGCCCGGCGATCTCAGCTCACTACACTCAGATGTGCCAGCACCCGGACTGCAAGCTACGCCGATGCATCGCCAAGAACGAGCCGATCGTGAAGATGAGGCTCTACGGTTGGTGCCACCAGGCGTGTGCGGTCAGGACGAAGGCCTGAGTGAGATTCAGGCTGAGAGGTCTCGGTGGCGCGGCGACGAGAGCAGGCCGCTGAAGGGCCACCAGCGCCAGGCGATACGGGCAGCTACACATACGACGAGGTCGGCCATTTTCGGAGCCATGTGCGCCCTCGCAACCTTCGGCCGCCTGACGATGGTCGAAGCGTGCACCCACGAGGACTCGAATCTCGGGAAGGTGTGCGACGAGAAGGGCTACCACTACGAGCGGCTCGGCCTCTTCAACGAGAACGACCTCAGCAAGCCGCAGGGCTACCACAAGGCGAAGTTCCTGCTAGACGAGAAGCGCCCGGAGCTCTTCGTCAGTACACCACCCTGCGGTCCATGGTCGATAATGCAGAACGTCAACCAGCGCAACGATCAACAGAAGGAGAACCTTCGCAGGAAGCGGCTCAAGAGCCAGCGGATCTTCGAGAACAACAAGAGGCTCATCGAGCACCAGGTGCTCAACCTGAACGGCTCGGCCCTCGCCGAGCAGCCCCACAACAGTCGTTCGTGGCAGAAGACCTGCTGGAAGGATCTCCACAAGATCCTACCGTACGAGGTGATCGTGGATGGCTGCGCCTGCGGACTACGAGCCCCTGACACGGGCGAGCTCATGAAGAAGCGCTGGAAGTTCTTGACGAATGACAGGAGGATCTGGGTAGCCCTACAACCTCTACAGTGCCGTGGAGGACACTACCACGAGGAGATAGAGAGCAGCTTGAGGACCGAGGCCTCGGGCTCCTACCCCAAGATGCTGTGCCGCCGGATCCTCAGGGCTCTGACCAAGAGCCAGAACCAGAACTACTTCGAGGACGAGGTTGTGAACTGCCTCTGCATGGCAGCTACCCAGCAGCCACCGACAGAGCCTACGCCAGAGGAGGACGAGCCGACTCTTCCACCACGAGACGGCAAGGAAGCGCACAACCTCACCAACGAGACGGTCAAGAAGCTCGAGAGCTACATCAGATTGGTCCATACCAACCTCGGACACCTACCTCGAGCTCATCTACTGCGATACCTTCGCGACCGTGGCGCTCGACCAGAAGTGCTACGTCTAGCCAGAACCTTCAAGTGCGACATCTGTGACGCACATCGACCACCTACTAAGCGGCCACCAGCCTCATCAGCAGAGCAGCCCCAAAACGGTCACGAGGTGCTTTTTGACGCTTTCTCGTGGATCCGTCGCAGCACGAACACGAACGTGATGGCGCTGGCGATACTCGACGCCGGCTCGGACATCCTCTACGTGCGGCTGATCGACGAGAAGCCGATCCCGGGTACTACTCGACAAGTTCGTGCAGGCGACCTTCGGCATATCTTTGCTACAAAATGGTTCCCCTGGATGGGACGCCCGAAGGTCATGCGCTACGACCCTGCCGGCAGCGCCATCTCCGACGAGTTCCGCGAGTGGATCGAGAGCCAGGGAGTCTACTGTCTCCCATGCGCGGCCGACGCCCACTGGCAGATCGGCAAGATCGAGCGTGCCATTGAAGCCTTCAAGGAGGCCCTCGACGCTTTCGACGAGATGGTCTCAGCCGAAGTACCCACCAGCGAGATGTTTGGACTCCAGACGGCGGCCAGGAACGACCTGATCAGGATCGACGGGTTCAGCCCGCTGCAGCGCTATGCGGGACGGACGCCGACTGGGACGACAGTCAATCTGTCGGACGAGCCGAACAACCTGCCGCTCATCAGTGCCGAGCTGCAGGACGGTACCTTCAGCAGGGACGCCCAGGTACGACGAATGGCGCGGCTGGCTCACATCCAGACCGAGAACTCTGACCGAGTTAAGCGAGCGGAGGCCGCGCGCTTCAGGTCCTTCAAGAAGTACGAGACGGGCGATCTGGTTTTCGTCTACCGACGGCTCCCATCAGGGGCCTGGCGCAAGAAGGGACAGCCTCGCTCAATGCCTGGGCGAGGACGCTGGCACGGACCTGGACGAGTACTTTGTCGCGAGCCAGCGAGCTCGGGACACCGACCTGGTCTACCTGGGACGGTGGTCAATATCACACTGGCTGGCCGCCTCTACCGAGTTGCTCCCGAACAACTTCGACCTGCCACGCCTTCTGAGGAGGCGATGGACTCCCTACGCTCGCGCCGCGAGCAGCCGGGGACCTGGACCTTCGGCGATGTCCAGAAGCAGCTCGACACTAACGAGGTGATCGACCTGTCGAACGAGTCCCCGCCCACTGGCGAGGATTTGGCCGCTGATGACGGTGAATCGGTCAGCGCCCGCACCTTCGAGAGCAACGCGAGCGGACCCTGGGCACTTTCTGAGGACGATGATCTTCCTGTTCCACAAGGAGACCCTCGTAGTCTTGACCCAGGAGGCGGCGGAGGGGGTGGAGCCTTGGCGGCGCCACCAGGACTGGAAGAGCGACCTCTACCTGGACCGCGACCTCCCAGACGTATGAGGAAGAAGGGTAATCCCTGGAACGAGGCGACCGAGGTCCAGGAACCTCTCATCCAGCCAACTCAGCCAGAAGGTCCACCAGGCGTTCCACAGGAAGACGGCCACGAAGCTGGACTACCCGAAGCAGCTGAGCAGCCCATCGAGGAGGAGATCGTCATGGAAGCCCCTCCCGGCGACGACCAGGAGGAGCGCGCGTCGCAGCGGCCCATCGTGGCGGAGACTGACGATGACCTCGACGATATCTCAGCGCCCGACGTGAACGATAAGCGCCGGATCCGAGAGCCCGGCACCACCGAGCCCCCTGCTAAGAAGCAGCGGGTCAACGCTGCGACCCAGGAGGCCTTCTCCTACTACCTGCAGGAGGGTAACTTCTACAGCGACTATGCCTACAGTGTCCAGCAGTACGACGATATGAAGGAGAACGATGAACTCATCGTGCTGGACATCCCTGTCAGCAACGAGCATGCGTTCATGGCCTACATGGACGATCCCAGCAACTTCGTGGCATCGCAGGCCCGCAAGGGCCGAGTGGAGGTCTCATTTAAGAAGGCGACGCCTGAGGAGAAGAAGCTGCTACTCGAGGCCCAGCAGAAGGAGTGCACCTCAGTCCTCAGCACGAAGGCCGTCAGGATCCTCAGCCGACAGGGGATCGACCCGGCGCGCCTGCTGCGCTGCCGCTTCGTGCTGACCTGGAAGAAGGATGACCAGGGGAACGTGCTACGAGGCAAAGCCAGACTGGTCGTGCTCGGTTTCAGCGACCCCGACCTGCTGCACCTACGGACAGAATCACCAGTTGCCTCCAGACGTGCACGTCAACTTCTACTGGCCATGGCAGCCAGACACAAGTGGAAACTGGAGAAGGCCGATGCAGTGACAGCCTTTCTCCAGGGCGAGACGGACGAGGAGAAGAGGAAGATCTACGCGGACCCGCCCAAGGACGTGCGTCAGGCCTTCGGCATGAAAGACGACGAGGTCCTGCAGTTCCTCAAGCCTATGTACGGATTTGTACACGCTCCTCGCAAATGGTGGCTCCATTTCAAGGACACGCTCAAGACGCTGCAGCTGGAGGTGATACAGTGCGAGCCGTGCGTCTGGGTCATTCGAGACGGCACGAAGCTGGTCGGCATGGTTATCCTACACGTCGACGACATGATGATCGCCGGCGACCATCACAACTCGGCTTTCCTCAAGAAACGACAGAAGATACAACAGGCCTTCGAGTGGACACCTTGGGAGAGCCGAGCGTTTGTGCAGTGCGGCATCAGTATTCGACAGAATGAGGACTACACCTGCAGTCTCGCACAGGACAGCTACAGCCTGAACGTGGAGCCCATCAAGATACGACGTGGACGCAAGCCCACGGAAGGAGTTTCAGACAAAGAGAGATCAGATCTACGAGGCCGACTTGGTACAGTCGGATGGCGAGCTCAGCAGTCGGCCCCGTGGCTCAGTGCAGAAGTCTCTCTACTCCAAGCGGAGATACCTACGGCGACGGTCTCTACCATCCAGAAGATCAACAAGCTGATCCGCACCATGAATGACACTGCCGACGTGGTCATGCTCATCCCGGCCATCGAGCAGATCGCTGTGGCTGGCTGGGGCGATGCTGCCTGGGCCGCTCGTATCGCTGGCGAGTCCCAGGGTGGCGAGATGATCGTGCTGGCACCACTGTCTTTCCTGAGTGGCTCGACAGAGACGGTAGCGCCTATCTCATGGAGATCATGCAAACTACCGCGAGTGGCCAGAAGCAGCACGAGTGCGGAGGTTCAGATGATGACAGAGACCCTCGACGAGATCAGCTACGTGCGCCTGTTCATCTACGAGCTGGAGTGCGACCAAGTGGACTACACCAACAAGCAACACGTGAACGACGCCATCTCATCCTGCCCTGGCGTACTGGTCACAGACGGTAAGTCTGGCTACGACGCGATCGAGAAGAGCGAGTCAGCTGGTCTCGGCCTACGTGATAAGCGGACGAGCATCGAGTGTCTAGGCATTCGACAGCAGAAGGAGCAGACGGCCCTCCAGATACGCTGGGTCCACAGTGATGCCATGCTAGCCGACGGCCTCACCAAGGATCGAGCCGCCAAGGTCTTGCTGGAGTTCTTCCGGTCAGGTCAGCGCTGGAGACTCGTGGACGACCCCCTGCACCGCTTTTTTCATCCTGAGGCCCACGAGGCAGAACAGAGCAAAACCTGCCTAGCCCGAGCGACGGGAGGCAGCTGCAGCTTCTTCCCGCGCTCGAACGCGGGCCGCCAGCGCCTCCATGCCAGGCGTTGACACGAGGCGCAGGCGGGAGGCCGTCGGTTCGCCACCTTGTGTGGCCGCGGCCCCGATAACAGCCTCGGCAGAGCGACGACAGGGGTCCGTGACACGATTATCATTGTAAAAGTGAGGATGGAGCCCCTGCTTAACACGGTAGAGGGTCTGGGATCTCGTGCCCAGCTTCCCACAACACCGCCCAGCCAGCAAAACACACCTTTTCGACGAGTAGGCACCACACCTATAGCAAAACACTAATGGCTCCTGGGCCTCATTGTCAATCATCGCGCAAGCCAGAAGGTGTCCCCGTTCCTCGGCATCCTTAAGATTCCGAAAAGCTGTGGGGACCCCTTTACACCCTATCATCGATCTATCCTGATCCCAGGTGATCGCGAAACACCTTGTGCACCTCCACGCTACTCCCGAGTCAATCTCGCGCCAGTCGTGCCAACTCGGATCTCTGACAGCCGTCGTCCGAAGGCCTCTGGCCGCGCGACGAAACTCCATCTTGGGGTAGCAGGAGAGCACAGCATCAAACATTCGCACTAAATCTTTCACGCGCTTCACGCACACATCAAGAGCCTCGAGGTCTTCTGTCGGGGCCTCTGGGTGAAGTGTCAGTGCGTGCTTGGCTAACCTATCAGCATCAGCACTTCCCAGTGCAATGCGACGCTCCAAAATCGGTAGGGCCAAAATCACCTCCTCGGACCTGTGGGCAGGGGTGTAGGAGGCAGGGCCCAGGCAGCCCTGAGGGTCGTGTTCCATGGCGAGCCTCCTAAGGCCAGAAAACATCTGCTTTGGATTCAACTGTTCCCGACGACTAGCATTGTGCAACTTAACGGCACCAGAGCAGTCGCTGTGAGGAGTGGCAGGATAATCAATGACGCAGCTAAGCGTTGCCATGCCGAGGTGCTCCGCCGACTGCGGAGTTTGGAAGAGGGTGGGCCAGACTGTGCCCATCATCCGTGCCTGAATCTTGTATTCAGGGCCAGGTGCTAGGAAAACAGCCCCAAAAGCCGCGCGTTGCAGCTCCTTATACACCTGCTGAGTTGCTGAGCCGTCGACAACGGGCTCGCACCCACGGGCCAGCTCAAGAAACTCTTCAAAAGTGATTTCCTGGCCCTCAGAATCCTGAAAAATCGGGTCGAGGTTCCAGGACGGACCAGGGACCACAGGCTGAGGCACAATAAGCCTCGACCAAAACAAACGCTCATGAGGCTCGGCAGCTTTCACCTGCTCAATTAGCTCCTGACTGACATGCTCGAGCCTCTGTTCGGCCACACTCGGACAAAGCCATTGCCGATGGAACAGGGAGTCGGGTTCCCCACACAACGGACAACCCCCCCCGTGGTCGTACCCGCACACTCTCATCCGATCTCCCGTCCAGCAGGCATTTGAAAAAACGGCCGAGAGCCAATATTTTTGTCTGGCCGTGGTCTTACGCGAACGGAAAAGCTTAGCGACAGGGTCTGGACAGACTCGGGCATCATTGAAATCATCTAAATCAGTGGCCATCTTGCGCTCGAGGGCTCTCTGCACCCCAGCCTCGAGTTGTTTGGCCACTAGTGCAGGGGAGGTGTACATTAAGTCAACCACGCGGTCGCGGTCATCTCTCCACGGCGCAAAATTATCTGCACGCCACCCAATACGATGGAGGGAGAGGAGCATTCTATGCACTGGGCCTTTAGACTTACGCCAGCTGGTGGGGCCTAACTCAGGAGAGGAACTCGATATCGTACGCCATATCCGAATGTGGTCCCGAAAGGAGAAATGGCACACCGTGGGCTCCGTGAGGCTCTGCCAGAGGCTGTTCGACCACTGCAGTGCTGGGGCTACCGCCTGACGCCACGCAGGGTCCCCATGAAGCACACACTTCGCAGTAAGGCTGGCTCCCCGATGAGCAGGAGACTTGCCTGCCATGAGCACTGAACGTAACGAAGCCAATTCATGGTCAGAAAAACCTAGGACCATGCTGCCGAACCCTGCTGCTGGCCGTACTCCTGCAACGTATATCTTGTTAATACGCGTACGGTCCCTGGGAAGCTTCTTCTTATAGTGCTGGAGTAGTCGGCTTCGAATTCGCATATCGTGAAACCGTTGCCTCCGCCGAGCTCTGGCCCTCTTAGCCGATAACCCCTGACCAGGTGCTAGGTCCACGCCCAGCGACACGGTGGAGTTCGTGGCCGACGACGGGCATATCGGCTGAAGTCGCCTGCGCAGCTTGGAAGCTATCCTGCTGGAAGAAGAAAAAGATACCGCTTTGTCCTCGGCTAGCCGCACACCTAACCGAGTCTGAAAGACCCACTTTAAATCTTTCGCAGCCTTGGCCAAATCGTGCATGATGACGCTTTCAGGACCATGGGCCGAAACCGTGTCGTCGTCGACGTACGATCCCAAACTGACCCCAGGATTTCGGCTCGACCAAAGATCAAACTCGAACATCGCGTAAACCTTCACAAAAATATCATTGAAAATGTCCCCAGCTGGTAACCCATTTTGCGCAAACTGAATGAGCGGGCAGTGATGAGCTCCCAGACGGAGTACTCTCGGGGACCTCCAGAGGTTGTACAACACTTTTATGAGAACCGTGGGAATACGCCAGTACAGGGCCCGATCCCTCAGCCACAAGAGCCGAAAGGACTCATAGTACTTCATTCCGTCCCAAATGAAACCTGCCGTGTAATCGCCCTTTTCGGAGGTCTCCTCGGCTCTCACACTTTGCTGCCATATCGATACCTCAGCCGACTGCCCCGCACCAAAAGACCAGTAAGGCCGTTGGGCCCGATCCAGGAAGGCATCAGCCTGGGGTCTCCGAAGTCGCTCCCAGACTCGAACAAAGGATCCCAGAAGCAGAATCGGCCTGAGACCTCCTTTGGGCTTCTCCAGTAAAGGCAGCAGCATCCACAGTAGCTGCGCGGGGAAAAGGCCCAGCCGCTCCACGGCCTCGTAGAGCACGGCCAGGCACTTGAGGCCCTCGTCGGAGAGAGCACCAACATGTCGCGGGTGAAATCCATCTAGGCTCTGGGCGGTGTGGCGGCTGAAACTCAGGGACGCTTTCCGAAGCTCATCAACGCTAGCCCTAGGGAAACATTGACGATCAGGAATCCAGGCTTCAGGTGGCGTCAGGCTCGCTCCCCAGAATCTTCCCAACGTCTGAGCTTCATCTTCCAGAAGGGCGTGAGGATCCGCAGTAAAAACTCCAGGAGAGCTCTGGACAACTGTCGGTTGCCAAACCTTTTTCAGCCTTGTAAAACGATGCATTATCCGAGCTGAGCCAGCAAGGGCCCGTTCCTGCCAGATGTCCCACGACTCCCGCTGTATTCGATCCCCATCCGCCCCAGCTTGCTCATAGTCCTCACGAACATCCTCTAGAAACTGCTGAGCTTGCTCAAGCCACTCCTGTCTCTGGAAGCTGCTGTGGCGTTGCCAGCTCCTCGCCAGTGTGCGCATGGCACGTAGGGAGGCATCAAGGCGCACAGACAAGCCTTCGCCAGGACAGGAGTCCTGGAGCGATACCTGAAGCTGGATGCAACACTGCACGGCATCCTCGGTCGCATCTTGCACCGTGAGGATGAATTCCTGAAAGGACTGGTACAGCCACTTCCAACCAGCGACGATCTGGAGCTTATCATCAGGATCCTTCGGGCGATAGAAAACTGAAACCCAGGACGACTTGATCGTTCGAGAACGCTCCCCCAACTCCTTCGGCTCGAAGCCTAAAGTGCGGGTAAGCTCCAGCTCAGCGACATCCACAAACTGCGCCCACGCATTATTCAAGATACTCCAGGCCACCGTGGCCTTCTCGTGCGTGGCCCAAGCCGCTGCCTGAGCAGCATGGGCAAGGGCACCTTGCCACGCTGGAGGTTGAGGCCGCGGTCCGAAAGGCACATCCACAGGGAGACGCTGATGACTACGGTAAACTAACTGCCTAATAGAGAGAGCGTCTGCACGAACCTTGAGTTGTACAGGTCTGTGGGGCTTGACATCCCAAGACATAACCGCAGCAACTCCAGAAATCAATCTAGACAAACCTGGGCCCATGACGAAGAAATCAATGATTGTATTCGTCGACGGGGTACGACACGTGTGCTCAATCGGCGCCATGACCAACATCCCCAACTTGCGTGGGACTCCAGAGGCCTCTAGAACCTGTGGTGTGAGATTCCAGTCCCCCGCAAGGATAGTATGAGTTGGGTCATGCACCTGCTTACCTATCTGCGCGATCATCTGGATGTTGGCCTCGCTGAGGCCCTCCGAGGTCTTCAAGTAAACTGAGAAAACCGTATCCGTGGGCCATCCAGGAAAGTCTACCAGAACCTTGATAGCTCGTCCAGGAACAACTGGGCCAGGACCTTCTGGAGGCCATCGTAAACCTATGCTGAGCCGTGCGAAGACGGCGACACCGCAAGAGACCTTGCCTGTCTCGGTGTTCAGGAAGGCGGGGCCGAACAAAGCATGGAAACCAAGCGAACGTGCCGATGCCGTCGCCTGTCCCAAAAACGAAATACTGATGCCTATCTCCTGGGCGCATACTATCACCGCCGAGGTCTCACGTAATCTCCGTCGAAGTGTTTTCCAACACGAACCGCAAGGAAGCGCAAGACCGAGGGCATGGACAGGCTGGACCACGGCAAGCCGTTATCCGCAGATGACGATGAAGCTATGCTGGAGGCCCTGATCTACTTCGCTCGCGACAATCCCTACGAGCAGGAGACCCCTGCCGGAGATATAGCCCTTTGGGGCACTGTGAAGCCTCTCACGCGCTCTGTGCTTTCTGTGAATTCAGTTGCCAGAGGCAGGTCTCGATGCCGTAACATCGATCTTTAGCTTTTGGGCATGCAATTCACAGCCCCGAGCCTGCCTCACTAGAGCCTACTTACGACAGATGGCCTCTAGAGGCCGTGCGTGATATAAGCTTCAGGCTCCAAAGGAGCCCCATGTATGTTAGCCAAGCGTTTCCCGGCGAATCGGGCCCCCTTTAGCCTCCAGATTGCAGCCAGCCTTGCTTAGTAGGCCCTCCGAGATCCTTCGAGATCCCATTATAATATCCCAGAACAGGTTCATCCGAAACCGTTCTGGCTCAAGCCTTTGCAGCGTCTCAGCGACGCTGGACTTCTGGTGTGCGTCCGAGAGACGCAGGACAGCGAACTGCCCGCTGACAAACAGATCCTGTTCATCACCACAGTGCGATCAGCATCGCACCGTCACTGCCCTCAGATTCGACCCGACCGCCAACAGTACCCTCGGCACGTGTCAGAGCAGAGAAGAGAGCAGCATCATCAAGGATTGCGATCAGGGCAGTGGCTCTAAGCGGGACCATTGCAGTCTTTGGGCGCTCTTTGAGTCCTCTTGGGCTGCTTTGGAACGGTCTTGGGGGCTCTTTGGGCCATTTTCGAAGCCGTGAAAGCAGAAAAAGTCGTGCATGCTGACAATGCACTTTTTCCCAAGGAACTGGGGCAACTTGGGCGTTTTGGGAGGGCTCCTGGGAGCGCCTTTGGAGGCTTCTCGGGGCGTCTTGGCCGGTCTCTTGGTACTGCTTGGGGCCATCTTGCGCGTTTTGGGACGGTTCTTCGGCGATTCGCGTCCCTCTCAGGCCATCGTGGAGGTTTTTTGGGAGACCTCCCGGCCCGTCCTGGAGGGGCCCAGGATCCCTGCCACCTGGGGGCCTCGTGGTTAACCCCAAGGCCTCCCGGCCCTGGATCCCGGGATTGTGTGTATACATGCACACATACATACATACATACATACAGACAGACAGACAGACAGACAGACAGACATACATGCATGCATGCATGCATGACTGCCTGCCTGCCTGCATGCATGCATGCATGCATACATACAAACATACCTACCTACCTACCTACCTACCTGCCTGCCTCCCTCCCTCCCTCCCTCCCTCCCTCCCTCCCTCCCTCCCTACCTACCTACATACATACATACATACATACATACACACATGCACACATGCATACACACATACATGCATACACACATACATTGCATTCCATTCCATTCCATTCCATTCCATTCCATTCCATTCCATTCCATTACAGTCCAGTCCAGTCCAGTCCAGTCCAGTCCATACATACATACATACATACATTCATGCATGCATGCATACATACATGCATACACACATACATACATATACACATAGCTAGCTGTGTATATATATATATATATATATACACATACACGCATAACATACAGACATACGACCACGTCGGGGCTCCGTGCAAATTGCTCGCGTATCGGCTCAGTTTGGAGAACTCCACTCCGGCACATCTGCCATCATCTGGGGAGCCTGTGGCCGGGCTCAGGGGCCAGAAGCTCGCGAGGCGAGGTGTGCGCCTACTGGGCCCGAGCGGCAAGCAGAGCGGCTGTGCCAGGCCAGGGTGGAGAGGTTGTCTCCCCAAGATAGACGCCAAGAGAGCAAAGGCGAGGAGGGAGAGGGAAGAGGGCAATTGAGCAGGGACCGACCGTCCAGGCATTCCTAGAGGCCTACCAGGACATGCTCTTAGATCCCATACATCTCCTAAAAACTAAATCAATGCTCTTTGAACATAAGCCTGGTGTGCTGAAAAAAGACAGCCCCAGCCAGACATGTTCTGAAAACATTTCGTGCAAACAACAAAAGGTTGTTATAACATAATTTGGTGGGTCTATAAGCGAGCTGGGACGCTTCGCCACTGCTTGAGATAATGGGCGAAAGTGCCAAGGAAAGGACACTTCGTTGGGGGCAGCGGACCATGCAGAGAGGCGGGCAACTCTGCGAGTGGAGCCACCGTCACCGTCCCGTTCATGGTGGCAGACGTGATGCTACCGCAGTTCGAAATCAACAGCATGTAAATACCAGTCCTGGCCGACAGAGAGCGGATCACATTCGGAGGATCGGGAAAAGCGGCAGAGCGAGAAACCGCCGGCACCATCTTCCCAAGCAGCGGATGCCGTGCGTAAACTGGGCAACGGAGCAACGGCACTGCGCGAGAGATGTTCCCCCTCTTGCAAGTTCAACCAACCATGAACTGGCCATCGCTCGGACGTCCATTTCCTGTGTTTGTTTCGGTTTCGTGCGTGTTTTTTTCGCGAACTGATCAAGGATGCTCCTCGATGGCCCTCGCCGAGGAAAAAAACGCACACGTCCGAGCGATGCCAGGTGAAAACTCAAACCCTAGGGTGGTCCGAGGAAATATAGAACTAGAGGGACACGAGCATGGACAACGATGGGGATATAAGCCACGGGAGGCCACGGGAGGCAACGCTGCCCCCCCCGATTCCAGATCCAGCAGTCCGTCCGTAGGGGGCAAACAAACCTACCTCGCTTTTGACCACCCTCGCTTCCAAGAGATACCAAGCGATGCCAAACTACGGCCTGTACTGGTCAGGCCGCTTGACGACGAGGCGCGTGGTATGACTTGGTTTTTCCTGGAAGCGAAAGAGGGGTAGGAAATTCACGCTCTGAGTTCATTTATCCTCAGAAATTTCGGCAGAGCTCCCAAACCAACCAAGTGGTGAGATACCAGGTGGTGGCATGGAATCCCCCAAAAAGTCACCGCCGCGTTTTGGAACACGGGGTCACAGCCGGGTTTTGTGACCCCTGGGCCCACCAGCGTTCGGGACATCCTCGAAAACCACACGAGTCCCGAAACCGGGTGGTGGCACCAAATCGCCCGAGACTCACCGCCGGGTGTTGTCACCACCAATTTTGGGACTACCGAAAGATTTTGGCAGAACACTTACAGTCAAGCTGATCAGGGAATCCAGGCATCGGATATCCAGGTACGTTCACGCCGAGAGGACGCGGCGGCGAGCCGACCAAAAGCCAGGCAACCGATCTGTCGCTGTGCTTGGCATCCGGACTCAGGTTTCGGGTTTCGGCGAAGAGCCGCCTCAGGAGAGTCGGCAGAGATGCCTGGGCTCCCTCGCATCGGAGAAACCGAAGCGCCAGATGTCTGGGGCGGCGACCCCAGCGCGGGCGTTCCACTTGTCACGCCGCCAATGGCCAAGAATGAGCCGATCTCGAACGACTGCGCTGTCAGAAGTCCGCGATCGTCCGAGATTGGAAGATCCACGAGAGTGTTCTTTAGCCCTCTAGACCATACCGCCCGTTATGCCTCCTACCCTTCCCCTCCCCCCCCATAACCGAACGCTCCCCCCCTCAGTGCGTCCCCGGCACTGACGCAGTGCGTCCGGCACCACAGTCCTGGGGGGAGCGCTACGTTATGCCCCTGCCCGTCCCCCCCCCTCCCCCCCTTGACGCCCGCTATGGCCGCGAATACAGACATGCGCTCCACGGAGTGTTAGCAACAAACGCCAACTTCGTCAGGAGACGAACCTGTCGCACGCTGTCCAAGCCTGTCCCTGGCCAATGTGGCACAGTACTTTCCCTGTCGAGCCTCCGGTGGCGTCGGACGCGGAAATGTTTTTCATCCAGTGGCTACACGTGTTGACTGATGACAATGGATCGGGCGCTGGCTGTGGGAGGGGAAGCAACGGCCACTGCTGAGATTGAGTGCACCGCATCTGTCTCCAGGCAAATGTGGGTTCCAATGTGGAAGGGAGCGCAGATTGTTTGGGCCTGCGTTTGGCGGCTCCTGCTGCTCACCCCATACTCCGTCTCCGGCCAGAGGGAAACAGCCAGCCAAGGACCGTCAACGGCTGCCGCCGTCCAGCACTGCCGCATGGAAGGTGATTTGTTGTTATTTTGAAGAGGCCCTGGGACACACAAACAAATACACACAAATAACCAGATCCCCTATATGTTCCAATATTTCTGGGTTTTTGTCTTCCGCCCACTTCCCATATTTTCCAATCTTTTCTGGGGAATCGACGATTAATTCTATCTGTGTTTTCCCCTCCTGATATGTGTCCTCCTCCACAGTCGCGTGGCGATCGGCGTCTGCGATCGACGCCGCTACCTCTGGCCTCTGCTCTGGCAGCTTCAAGCCGCGCGGAGCGGGACAAAACCTAAGCAATAACGGATAGCACCTTATCCATTGGGTGGTTTCGCTGGCGTACTTGCGATGCCAGTACGTCACAAGGATGAACCTAAACGGTTGTCCCTCGCTTTTGTCTCCAAACCGCCTTTGCCGCAAAACCGAGTCGAAACGAAAACGGCCCACGAAATCACCCAAAACACTGTTTAGGTCCAGCCCGGCCCTGCAGTGGTGCGATCCACTTCCGTACTTGCTCGGATCACCCTGTGCTTGACTTTTCATGTCTGGCTGAACTTCTCGGTTCAGGCCTCAACCTAGTCGGGGCCTCTTGAAATCAGAGGGTGTAAAGCTGTTGGGGGTGCCACTGTTGTAATACAGGCCCCCCAGAATCCCGACCCTTTCTCCCGGGCCAGGTTTTTTCATCGTAAGCAACTATTTGACGATCCTGGGGCCAGGCGACGGCCCCCGACGAACACTGCCAAAAACCACCTGCCCCGTTTTTTTTCGGCGGCGAACCCCGGGGGGAAATGAGAAGCGCCCGTGGCCCAAGGTGCCCCAGAAGTGCTGCCAGAAGTGCCCGTGGCCCAAGGTGCCCGTGGCCCAAGGTGCCCCGAGGCTTTCTACGGAGGCCCCCGCGGCCTCCAGAGCACCCCTCGGGAGGCCCAGGGGGGCCCCCGGGGGCTCCCGAATGGAACAACAAACTCGAAGCACCTTGCGCCAGGCAGCACCCGATGAGAAGGCTCAGAGGGCCTCTGCCCTCCCGGAGAGAACTCCGAGCCCCCCCCCACCCCAGGAGATGCCTACAAGGCCCCTTGGACGGCGCGAGGGCTGCGGAGGAGCCCCATCTCGCCTCCCCCAGCCCAGGGCTCGCCGCCGACTCGTCCACGCCGCGGGGCTGCCATGGGACCGCGCACGGCCGGCGGGAGACCGTCGGCGCCACTCCGGGGAGCAGCTGGCCCTCGCTCGGACGTCCACTCCCTGTGTTTTGTGCGGTTTCGTGCGTGGATTTTTCGCCAAGTGATCAAGGGTGCTCCTCGATGGCCCTCGCAGAAGGAAAAACGCACACGTCCGAGCGATGCCGAGAACCAGGGCTCGCCGCCGACTTGTCCACGCCGCGGGGCTGCCTCGGACCGCGCACGACAGGCAGGAGACCGTCGGCTCCTCCTCCTCCTCCTCCTCCTCCTCCTCCTCCTCCTCCTCCCCCCTCCCCTCCTCCTCCTCCTCCTCCTCCTCCTCCTCCTCCTCCTCCCTCCTCCTCCTCCTCCTCCTCCTCCTCCTCCTCCTCCTCCTCCTCCTCCTCCTCCTCCTCCTCCTCCGACCTCCAGGGAGCAGCCGCTGTGCTCGGCCTCTGCCTGCGGGCGGCCGGCCCCTCGGGCCCCCTCTGCCTCGGCCCCGGGGCCGCGCGGGCGGTGCTCCTCTCGATGGCCCAGCGCTGGCTCGGGGCCTTCGTGCCGCCGAAGGGCACCTGCGGACGCCGAGGGAGAGGACGAGGAAGAGAGAGAGAGAGAGGGAGAGAGAGAGAGAGAGGAATAGAGAGAGAGAGGAATAGAGAGAGACAGAGGGAGAGAGAGAGAGAGAGAGAAACGACCCAGATCTCCGAAATGTTTTGTTGAAGCAGTGCGCTGTTCGTCGATGTCGGCCCCCGGGGCCCGTGATCTGGTCCTGGGGCCAATACAGATTTTGAACGAAAAATGGCCCTTTGGGAGAGGGTCGAGAGCGCTGGGGGCGCGGATTGAAATATTACTTGTATCGGTGGATGTCTGGGGATATGTGGGCATGCAAGAAAAAGCAGGGGCAGGGATGGCGAGGGGAGGCGGGAGGGGGCGGGGGAGGCGGGAGGGGGCGGGGGAGGAGGAGGGGGGAGAGGAGGGAGGCGGGAGGGGCGGGGGAGAGGGGAGGAGGCGGAAGGGGGCGGGGAGGAGGGGAGGCAGGAGGGGGCGGGGGAGGAGGGAGGGGGGGCGGGGGCGGGAGGGGGCGGGGGAGGAGGGAGGAACGCGGGCCGCCGTCTCTCCTAGGCGAGGAGCCAACACCACGGGGTGGCTGGGGAACACCAATGGAGGGAGGCGCGGGCCCGCCTTCCGCACCGCTCGGAGGCGGGCGGGCCCGCTCCCGCCCGCCGACGTTGAGGCATCCGGCACTCCGCGGAACGCTCCGACCACCAGTCGCTCGCTGCCTGACGATAGAGAGAGGGAGAGAGTCGGGTCGGGGGGAAGGGGGGGGCAGCAAAGGGGGGGTTTGAGAATCAGCTCACGTAGCTTATTTTCCCGGCGCCTCCCGGCGCCGGAAGCGGCTATGTATCGAGGAATGGGCCCCTCGGTGAGGCCGAAACCAGCTGCATGCAGCAAATTTCGTAAACCCCCCTTTCCCAATCCCCCCCTTTCGCCCGGCCCGAGAGAGGGAGAGAGGGAAGACGCTCGCTGCCTGACCGACGCTCGCTCTGGATAGACCAAATCACACCGGAGAGAACCCAATCAGTGGATGACTTGAATATTGGTGCCATGGATCTTGAGATCGATTGTGAGATCGATAGTGGGATCGATAGTGGAATCGATAGCGAGGACGATTGCAAGGCCGATCGTGAGAAGGAGGGTAACCAGGAAGCTGCAAACGCGCCTGGCTGGATTCCCAAGCGGGACATCCACAGCCACACGCTGGACACGCGCGCGGGCCGGAGGAAAAACCTGAGACCCCGACTCCATCCATGGGCCCGGAAGCTCTGCTCCCGGCCTCGTCCCGGGATCCGTGCGATTCACATACCCGCGGTGGTGGCGGAGGGGCAGGGCTTCCCTGCTTCACGCTGGGGCCCAGAGTCCGGCGGTGGACACGCCTCCCTCCGATAAAAAACCTCCCCTTCGTGAAAACGGCCCGGGACCGAAACCGACGGACCTGGACCCGCAAGGGTGACGGCCGCGCCGCCCTCCCGCGCACCGAAGACGGCCCCTTCCTGCATCGACGCGTCAGGGTAGGAGGTCTCTCCACCCCCGATGCTCGCGGTGGTGGAGGAGGGGCGGGACTTCCTTGCTTCACGCGGGGGCCCTGATTACCAGCCTGGAACATATCCCTATCCCTATGCCGAGCACCTCCTCGTCACGATGCCAATCTGAGGGATTCCCTTCTTTTTCGATCGCAAATCCCTAAGATTGTCATCGCCTTCTGGCGTGCCAATCTTAGGGACAGGGATACGTTCGAGGCTCGCAACCTGCGTGCTCCTCCCGATCCCCTGGCGGTGCCCTCGGGGCCCTGCGGCTGCGGGGCCGTGGGCCCGGCGCCCGGCCTCGCCTCGGGGCGAGGCCGACGAGCACCGCCCGGAGACCAGCAGCAGTCATGACCGTACGCATCCGGGCGCATGCTTTGGGCTGTTTCGACAACTTCGATCGCCTCGGTCCCGTGTGCGTAGGGGCGTCGGCGTCGTCATGATGTGAAGCTGGAAGCAACAGTACTCTGTTCGCCCACACGCGCTGCGAGCATAGATAGGCGCCCACCCGTGGTGAGAGGAGAACACGGCCGCGAGGAGGGAGGCCCGCCCAGCGAGGGCAGCCGAACGCCGGAGCGATCCGTTGGCGGTGGGGGCGGGCCGCAGCGGCGAGCAACCCCGCACCGACTGCTGGAACACCTGGCCGGTGCTGTTGTCGAGGAGGCCAGACCTGCGCGCGGGCGCGCGCCCTCGGCGGCGGCCGAGCCTCGGGAGCCCCAGGACCTCGGCCGCACACGAGGTGCGGCCTTCTGCCCACCGCTGCCCCTCGCCCCGGACAGGCCTGGGAGACGAGGCGAGACGAGACAAGGCGTGGCGATGGTCGGGAATCGGACTCTATACACCGACGCTTGCTCCGGCCCTGCACTGGAATGCGGATCCTGTGTATATTCGCTGTTTCCCCGGGGCATCGGGGACAACAGTATACACCACACCACCCCAGCGTCGCCCTCGACCCTCGAGAGGTCCTGGGATAGAAAAACGGGCCGCCACTGGTAGTGTACATGTTCCAGCTTCTGACGAGAACCTCGCGAAATCCTAGAAGCCCCGCGCACTGCTTCGGCAATGAGACCTCGCTCGCAGACGCAGGTGAGGAGGAGGAGGAGGAGGAGGGCGGGGGAGGAGGAGGAGGAGGAGGAGGAGGAGGAGGAGGAGAGGAGGAGGAGGAGGAGGGAGGAGGAGGAGGAGGAGGGGGAGGAGGAGGAGGAGGAGGAGGAGGAGGAGGAGAAGGAGGAGGAGGAATAGGAGGAGGAGGAGGAGGGAGGCCAGCCGGGGGCATCTATAGGCGGGCAGCCCGCGGGGGCGCCCGGCCTCGGGGAGGCACGGGGGCGGGACCGCGTCGCGCTCGCACTCGTACAGTCGAGGGCAAAACATCCACCCTGATATGACCAGCCTCGAACGTATCCCTATCCCTAAGATGGGCGAGCAAAAAGCGAGGAAAATCTTAGGGATAGGCCCTCAGAAACTGAGGGAATCCTTAAGATCGGCATCGAGGTGAGGTGATGTCAAACATAGGGATAGGGATATGTTTCAAACTGGTAATGATAATAACCACCCCGACACGCGAAGCCGTTTAGTGAACGCACCCAAAAAAGAAATCGAACATGGCAGGGCGCTTTAGTAGACGCCCAAGGCCGCTTAGCAAACGCCAATTCTCCGGTCCGGGTGGTTTTTTTCCTCCCCTTGATACGAACCATCGTGCCACCCGAAAGGAACACCGAGTGAGGGACGAAAGGGCTCTTCTGGTCACGGCGAGCCCGCGGCCACGACCAAGTTCCCGTGCCTGCCTCGCGGGGGCGGCACTGAAAACGCCAGGAAACCAGAGCCCCGCCTGAGCCGGAAGCGTTCCTTGTTTCAGCGTTTTGACTGCACGTGTCCCCCCGCCCCCACCCCCTGTTCATGGTGCCGCCGCAGAGAGGAGCAGAAGGAGATGGAAAGCATCGGGGGCAAGGGTGGGTTCCCCCCCCCCCTCCCCCTCCTCTGGCATCTCCCGTCTCTCCTGCAGACTGCAGGATCGCCCTGCAAACCTCCATGAACCCCGACTAACAGCTGGAACCAACAAACAAAAAACATGTCCGCTAGCCCCCCCTCGCGGGGTCATGAGGCTGCAAGAGTAAGCTTTCAGCAATTGACAAGTTCAGTTCTCATCAAAGCAGCGCGGTACTTCACAGCATCATGCAATAATTGACTGCGTAACATATTGGGAGCCAAGAGATGTTCATCTCAGAAAATGCAAGTATGAATCTCCCGACGGGCGAGGACCCGAATGGCCAGAATACCTGATTTCCCACGCCCATGCCATGTTCCCTCAGCTCCGTGGGGCCTTGGAACACGCAGAACATCCACATGTCCTTGCTGACAGGGAAACCAGCTCTCGCGAAGAGAGAAACAAAAAAACATATCCGCGCTACCCGAGGCTATGAGCCTCGGAAGAAACACTACTGGTTCCGCGTTCCCGAAACCGCGATTTCACGTAAACGACAAATCTGCGCGCCTTCGGGGACGCGGCGCCTCGAACAAGCCATGGGCCCGCGCTCATGCGGGCGCGGCCCGTCCACACGAGTCCGCCGACCTTGCCGGCGTGTCTGGGAGACTATTCCGCTTGGGTCCTCGTCATCCTCGTCGTCGTCGTCGTCGTCGTCGTCGTCGTCGTCGTCGTCGTCGTCATCGTGGTCGTCGTCGTCGCCCTCCCCTGTCCCTGGGCCTTCGCCAGTCGACTTGAAGGGAGGCCCCTTCCCTTCGACTTCGGTCCCTCCCGCGTTGAGGGGGCCGCGGGGTTCCCGGGGGGAGGGTCCTGGGGGTGCGTCACCTCTCACTGGGGCCCACTCGGCTCCAGGAAACCTCCAAATAGCCTAAGGAAGCGCCCGAATCTGTCGACATATACGGAAGACTGCGCAAGCCAACTTCCAACATGCCTCCAAGAGGCCTCACGCCCGCTCCGAGCTGGCTCCCGGTGGCCACCGGGCTCCCTTCCCAAGGAGCCCCCCAGGAGGCGATAACCACTCAGAACCCGCGGGGTGTTCCGTGTTCTGAGTTTTCTTACCCTTTCGCTGTCGGCGGGCTCTTGAGGCCTGGGGATGGCTCCAAAACTGCCCACGAGGGTCCCCAGAGGCGCTCAGGAGGTCCCCACGACGGCCCCAAAAAGCGCTTCACAGCGCCTGGATAGCACGAACAGAAGGCTCGACCAGCTCATGCTCGCAGCCCGCCGGAGGGACGCACAGGAAGCACCCCCTTTTTCTGCGATCTGTATGGCCCCCAAAAAGCATCCCAGGGCCTCCAAAAGCGCTTCAGGAGAGACCCAAGAGAGACCCAAGAAGGCCCGCGAGGACTCGAACATTGCCTCGGGAAAGGGCCCCACGAGGGCCTCAAAAGGACTCGCGAGATCTCCAAAATGAGCACCGGAGGGCCCAAAATGAGCACCGGAGGCACCCTCCTCCTGCGATCTGCATGGCCCCAAAAAGCATCCCAGGGCCTCCAGAAGCGCTTCAGGAGAGACCCAAGACTCGCCATCGCTCGGACGTCCATTCCCTAAGCTTTTTTCGGTTTGGTGCGTGGTTGTTTCGCCATATGATCAAGGATGCTCCTCCACGGCCCTCGCCGAGAAAAAATGCACACGTCCGAGCGATGCCAGGCAAGAGGGCCCGCGAGGACTCGAACATGGCCTCGGGAAAGGGCCCCACGATGGCCTCAGAAGGACTCGCGAGATCTCCAAAATGAGCACCGGAGGGCCCACGATGCCCCCCACAACGAGGCCTGTCCCTCTCACTCTCACGCTCTCTCTCTCTCTCTCTCTCCCCATTCACCGCCGCTTCCCTCCTCCCCCTCCTCCTCGCTTCCCCCGCTTTCCAGCTATAAGATATGAAGGGTACTCTCCTCTATCCCCTCGCTCTGTCTGGGAGATGCCCTGCCCTCCCCGCGTATTTTTCTTCACAGTGGATTCGGCAAAGGTGTCTGTTCTCACATGTTTCCCATCAGATTGTAGTCGGTGTTTCAAAATTGTACTCCCGCTACAACGTGGGCCTCATTTTCGGATCGGCGCTTTGCACCCGTTGTTCCGACTGGCGATCTCGCCCCAGCTCAAGCCGGTTTTCTGGATCATAATCATTTTTCTCATCGCTGTCACCACCCTCATTTCCCCTCCTCCGCCTTCCCCTGGTTCTCCTGATCCTCCTGTGTGTTACTCCAATTGCTGCCGCTGCTGCTGTTCGTCCTCGTCATCTTCCTTCCTCCTTGTTCATCTGTCCCTCCTGCTGATCCTCATGCTCGCCCGCTACCTCCTCATCCTCCTCCTTCTCTATGTACGCAGCTCCCCTTCCCCGATTGCGCAAAGCACGGGTGGGTCTTTTTGGGAATGCCAGGTCGGCTATGGCACGAGTCCGCAGATAGAGAGCATCAAATCAGCGCAGTGGGAAGAGATGGGATGGAGGGATAGGATCTTAGATGTGGCGTGAGCGCACCTAGCCCTCATCCTCATCCTCCTCCTCCTCCTCCTCCTGGTCCTCCTCCTCCCCCGCCCTCTTCCTCCTCCTCCTCCTCCTCCTCCTCCTCCTCCTCCCCCGCCCTCCTCCTCCTCCTCCTCCTTCTCCACCTCCTCTGCCTCCTGGTCTCTTGCTGCCCGTTGCGCACAGGGTCGGCGGCACTGGCCGTCAAGCCTTTGCAATAATGGATCCGCGCAGCCAACGCCTTCTGTCTGTCAGTGGCACACGGAAGATACTTCCTTAGGGGCGCGACGAGGGCGAGGGATGCGCTGGCAGGCAAGGGGACGCCGTGTAGCCGCAAGTGTAGTTCCCAACAGGGCACGATCCGCGTCGGCTGTGCGTGTGTGTGTGTGCGTGTGTGTGTGTGTGTGTCTGTGTGTGTCTGTGTGTGTGTTGTTTGTTCTCGTCGCTTTGCTCGGCCCTCCTTGCCCTTGTCTTGCTGGCCCCTTGTTGTCCGAAACAGGTCGGCCGGTTTTCGGCCTGCACTGCACCGTTCCTTGGTATTCCACTTCCTGCGACCCGTGTGTTTGTGTGTGTGTGCGCCGGGCCCGGCTTTCCCCTCCCTCCTGCCTTCGCCGGGCGTGCCCTGTCTCTACCCCGTGCATCGCGGCTGAATTCGCACTCGTGTGCCCTGCCAGTGCTCTTCCGCCAGCGCAGCCACTCTGCCCAGCCGCCGGCGCAAAAAGCGTGTGTGCGCGCGTGTGGGTGTGCGAAGGTGTGCCGCACTCGTGCGGCAAGGGTTAAGTCGGGCGTGTCCCCCTACAGAGGGATTTTCGACGAAAAACAAAAAAGTACTCCAAAAATGCTCAACAGATGCCCAAAAATAGTCCAAAAATAATCCCCTGACTATTTGTTGACTATTTTTGGATATCCCTCCTGTCCGCGGGGGTGCGCCGCCGCTGGACGAGGAAGCGGACCAGGGCCGCCCTCGCCGGAGCTGCAGCTTTTTTATTGTTTGTTTTTCCCCAACCCTCCTTGGTTGGGTATTCGTTTTGAATAGAGCAGTGTGGTCTCCACTCCCTCCTTCCCGTCCCGTCTCCCTCTTGCCTCCTCCTGTCTTGCCTGCGGGGGGCTGCGATCTGTGAAACTGTCGCCACTTTCGAGGCCTGCTGGGGGGCCCAGCACAGTGACGCCACGGGCAGACTCAAATTAGACCTTGCCATCCCTGGGGGGCTGCGATCTGTGAAACTGTCGCCA